ACAGTTCCTAACACATAGTTACTTCAATAAATACCTATATGATTAGATAGAAGTAGGTAAAAATAGGTAAAAGTGGATTAATTTCATAAGACTTTCTAAAGAAGCTTCTTAAATATTACTTTGATTTTACATGTGTTTATAGTTTATTGATAGATTAAAAATTTGGTCAACAAGTTAACCACATATTGGTAGCTTGTGGAACAAGCTAATTATGTGGTGCACATATAGAAAAATTGTCTTGCAAGTCAAGATACATGTCATATAAAGTCAACACGTTTTGGAGGTCTTATAGGACATGGCTACGTAGCTCCTTATTAAGAGCATATATGGGGTCAAGAATTAAAGCCTTCTTCATTCTTTTCAATGCCTTTTTAGTCCTTAGGCTTGTTTCTAGACTTTCTAATCTTCTTGTTTATGGCAATAGCCATTCTAATTCAATATTATATCACCTTTGAGTGACTTTTTAGTTCTTTCAAGTGACATAAGTGTGTATTGAAGATTTCTTTATTTGAGATTTATGTCTTTGACGTAATTTTAGCATTAATTATTTCTATTAAGTAAGTATTGATCAAACTACAACTAAAAAATTATTAATAATTAGTATTTCAAGTAAACCATCTTAGATTGAATTTTAGGTTTTTTAAATTTATTTTTGATTGAAATATATTATATGATTTCTTTTATTTTATTTTAAAAGTATTATTTTAGAATTAAAATATAAAAATTATTTTTTAAAATAATTTAATCTCTAATAACTGGAGGTTTAATATAATATATTAATTAAACATCTAAAAGCGCATGATTTTATATAACTCTAAAATCACTAAATTTATTAGCCAAAATAAAATAAAAAATTATATTTATTTTAGAAAATATTTTAAGGTTCTATTAATATATATTTTTCATATCATTAGTTCATTACATCTTAATTTTCTGTGCCATGATTTATTTGTAAGATTGAATAAAATGATTTATTATAAAAAAATCAAAATTTATTTTAACAATTTTTTTTAATCATAAAAAGAATTGATTGTCTTAAAATATAGGTGAGAGACTATTTTATTCATAAACATCCTAAAAAAGACTAGTATTAAAACTTAAGATTGCATTTGTAGTTTGAAACAAGAGCTAAAGTAAAGCCAAGTTCACACTTGCTAATTGCTTTAGATTTAGTAGCCATAAACCTATATGAAATTATAGATGTTAAACTCACTTTATTGTGATACTTCAATCATCTAAATCATTAATTGAGTTATTATTCTTTCTTCAAAATTAACTATTCTTAAATTTATTATTATTATTATTATTACTTTTCACAAATAATTTATATTTTTTAATATAATTTAAGATTTTTGTGTTATATTATGTAAATTTTTTCACTATGATTCCAAGCTTCCAAATAGGTTTAAAAGATCCTATCAAAGTAGATTTATAGCTTTACAACAAAGACAATAAGACATTATTTTTAATAATGATTTCTTTTATAACATTCTAATTCTAAAAATATAATTTATATTTTATTAAATCAATTATAAAATCATTGCAATAATAATAATAAAAAATAGTATCAAGAATCTTTTTTTAATTTTAATTTTATTTGCTTATGTCCAACCATATATATTTGGTTGATATAGTCTTTGGAAAGATTTATGTTGTTAATGTGCTAGTGGCTTTTCTAAATTAATTTCTAGTCTTAATGTGTGACTAAACATATATATACAATTTTATATGTATTGCTTACAAATTATTTTTCTCTTCTAATAGTTATTATAAAAACTATCAATTAACTTAATATTTATTGTTTATTATTTTTAAGTAGGATTTTACCACTTATTATATTATAATCTTGGTTCAAGACTTTCTATTTTCTTTGTATTTGATGATAGTCATTCTAATTTAATTTTAACAAATAATTGTAATTATTTATTAATTTCTTTCTTCTTCTTTAAAGATACAACAATATGGTATTTTATTTTATTTAATTCTTTTAAATTTTATATAAATATATGTTCTTAAATTTTAAACTTTATTATTTTTGTAGGAAAATATAAGAATTTTATTGTTTTTTTAAATCAATGAGTGGCTTTATCTATCATGAGATATTTTCTTTATTTAAATACACATTCTTGTAATGTCTCTTTATGTATTAATAAAGTAATTGTGGTGGGTAAAATAACAAAAAATATTTTGCTAAAAGTAAATCTATTCATCAACTTGCAAATCCTTTAAATTTTGTTTTACTTTTATAGACACTTTTCTTTTTAAAAATTATCATCTATAATCCAAATACATGTAACTCTTATTCCAATTGTATCAAAGCTAAATTTCTAAGTAAGTTTTACACTTATATAATTGAATGTATGAACAACAAAAACTTGAATAATAAGCTAATTTCATAAGCTCATGATTTAAAATAAAAAAATGCATTTAATAAATTTTGTAATTATCTAACTTATAAACCATTTTTTAATAACTATTATCTTGAACAAATTTATGAAATATTTTTTTACAACTCTATATTAACTATTCTTTTTTGTATAAATTCTTAATTTAGTCAATTTAAATATAAAATATAAAATATAGAATAAGCTTTGTATGTGAATCAAAATAAATAAAAAATCAACTAATACATTAAGTAAATTTTCTATTCTTCTTAGACATCTCAGTATCTTCAAAATATTCTAATCCAATTTTTTTCTGAATTTCGTATTTAAAATTTTAAACCAACTCAAAAACCTATTTTTTTTAATATTAGAACTCAAGATTATTTGCCATGCCTTAATTGATTTGATTTGAAGAATGTTATTAGAAAACAATCCAATCAACACACCAAAACAACTATGCTAACTTACTAAAGCGACCATCAGCTCATTAATGCCAATGTAGAAATACAACAGACAGGGATAAAGGAAGTAAACCCAAATCAACAAAAATAAATAAATAAATAAATAAATAGTGAACAAGTTTTAGAAAATATCCACTTTCCAATGAACTAGAATGACAGGCGGAGTTGCCAGTGCATTGACACATTTGAATGGGAAGAAAACGGTAAATCAGTCACATTGATCGCCTGTGCGAGGTTTGAAGTGATGCTCACATGCAATTTCAACAAGATTCGAACTGAACTCCTTAAAAGGATGAGACTGGAAATGTGGAGCGAGGACAGCAAAATAGGAACGCAATGAATCCACTTGGCTACGGTTGCGCACTTTCTAGACAAGGGCTGATTCGCTCTGAGAGGTTTGTCGGTGATCGCCCATGCGGTTCAGGATTTTGAGCTGGAGAATGGATCAACTGCTGTTGTTGTGAACATTTGGTAGCTATTGTGATATGCTACTGCAGGCGCTTTCCGTGCTGCAGTCGATCATTCCTTGTTGCAGCTGCCAAACGAGCTGGTGCTGAAGGTCACGGATTATTAGGGCACCAGTCTTCTAAATGGCCATGTCGCCCGATCATCACCCAAGAATTTTCCCTCATGAAAAGCAGCATTCGCTTTGGTGCTGTGTTTGCAAACGAAGCTTGGTATTCATACTATGGATTGAATCCCTGTTGAACAAGGTTGCTCATCACCTTGGTAGCGTTCGACATCTGTGTCTGCACGAGAGTTTGACAAGGCTGGTAAGTGAAAAATGGATACAAGCTGTGGTAGCTACCAAGGCCTGCTTCGTCATCTGGATCTGCAACTTGGGCATCAACTCACTGGGAAGGAAAACAATGAACCGTTCTGGTGTCTTGTGATCACGAGTTCTGAATCAAGTGTGCATGTAGTGAATCGTGCCATGTTAGTGAGCATTCATGACTTGATTTTTTTTATTTTTTTATTTTTTTATCACATTTCGCAGTTTCGGATGTCGTTCCGACGGCGTGGGAAGTTCAAACGATCGTTTCTGCCTCCTTTTATTTCTTTGTTTTTGTTTTATCTTTGTGGATAGCAAGCCCCGAGAGAAGAAACTGAAATGCAGATCCCCTCGGAAGAAGCGAGTTTCAGGGTGCTGCAACAGCCATCGCTAATTACACGTACTACTTTAGAGATGTTGGGAGCACAATGCGTCAGAGAAGGTTGAGTGCAAAAATGATTTGCAATCGCAACCAGCTTTGGGGTACTCTGTGCATGGGAGCTGTGTCGCAGAGGTTAGAGTACAGACCCACGAGGGCTAAAGAACGAATATGCTCGGACCGGAAAATGTTCTCTCAAGTCGCCAAATGTAATAAATGTGCGGCTGATGTGTGTGGAGTGAATTTAATCGTTCTCTACGGGATTTAATCGTTCTCTACGGGATTTAATCGTTCTCTAGTGAATTTTACCAAATGTGGACGTTATTGTCGGCATTTCGTTGAGGTGTGATCGTGTGTAGTGAGCTCAAATCTGAAACGCCTGCTTCTTCTTTTGTTAATCGTATGTTCGCCCAGCTTTTGTGGTTAACGTTGTAAAGTTACCGTCTCCAGCACGAAACGATATTCGAGTTTGATCAAGGTTTGGAGGAGTCCGTGACAAGACACGCAGATTGCAGTGTGTTGGTAACACGCTGCTCAACCCCAAACCGTCCATTGAAAAAAAAAGAAGAAAATTCCTCAATCAACACATCGACTGGAGCAATTTATGCCATGCCGTTGACTCTTCGTAATCATGTGCAGAATTAAGTTTCTCTGGTGTTCTCTCCACGCCGTCTTCTGGAGCTGAAGGGAAGAGGGAGCGAACACTCTCACTGCTCTGCACATCGAATTCCAGGTGCAATGAATCAAGGAGATTCACAAGCAGGGAATATTCCAAAGGACGCCGGGATACCATATGCATCAGATATCGACCCGTCGTAAAGCAAACAAATATACATTCGTCGAGGCCCAGAGTAAAATATCGGCACGGATTCGGATGCATTTTCAGACGATACGAATGAGTTCACGTTTTGGATGGGATGGGAGAGGTATGGTACCTACCGCCGACGAGTCCTCCGCAGCTGCCACCTCCGCCCATCTACCTTTCACGCCAGCAAGCACTGTGCCTGCCAATTTCTAGGTCACCCCGGCTCGGATAAGAAAACCCTAATTTCATGATCATTCCAGTCAGCCTTGGGCGCAACCCTAGACTTTTTGGTGCCTTCAATCGTAAACCCTTACTCAGAGTGTGTGGCGGCCATATTGGTCTTCTCCATAGAGAACTGTGTTTAGGCGTCGAGTATTGAGCTTGTGGTTCATGGGAGAGAGTTTACTTTGCACTACTCAGCTTGGAGTTGTACCAATGTTGTATCAATGTTGATGTGAGTTGAACGGAAGCCGACTCCTGAGGGAACAAACCGTGCTGGTCAGCAGTGAGGGCAGGTGAGGAATCCGAGGCTGAGTAGCCATGGCCACGAAAAATTTCTTTGACTTGCTCGGCGATGACGAGAATGAGGACCCATCTGAGGTGGTGGTGCGGGTGAATTCTATCCCCGCGGAGGCCAAGCCTAGCGCTGTTGACAAGAAAAAACCTGCCGCTCCTGCTAAGCTCCCAACCAAGCCCGCTCCTCCCTCTGAAGCTGGTATGTGCTCGTGAGTTGGACCATTGTACATGCTTGTGTTTCTTTTCGTAGTCACTGTGCCGTTTTCCATTGTGCGTGTTCGAAAAGGAGAAACTTACTTTGGGGATCACTACCTCCGCATGTGCTTTGCTGCCCGTGACTGTCTACATACTCGTCATGAAAGTTGTCTTCCGTTTGCATATCTGATTGTAGTGTATTGCATTATTCGTTCTTCTTTTCTTTTCTTTTCCAGCTAGAGGCGTCCAAAGAAATCAGCATGAAGGAGGTAGAGGTGGCCGGGGATCAGGGCGCGGCGGTCGTGGTAACTTCAGTGATCGTGAGGGTGGTGCTCCTCGTGAAGGAGGATACAGAGAACGCAATTACAACTCCGATCGCAGCCTTGGTCAAACCCGTGATGCTGATGGTTTCGTAGGAGCTCGAGGCTCATATGGAGATAGGTCTGTGCGCACTGATAATGGCGAAGGGCGCTCATACGAGGGGGGCCGTGGTGGAGGGCGGGGCCCTCGCCGCGGTGGTCGTGGATACGGTGAAGGAGATGAACGTCCGCGCAGACGCGAGTTTGATCGTCACAGTGGAACAGGCAGAGGGTGAGTACCAGGGTTCTCCCGAATCAGAATGCCTCTTGCGTAGAATGTTTGGGAACCATATCCCAACTTTTTATAACTCAAGTTCTGTGTCGCTTTCAGGTGTCAGAACTTGTTATGATGTACTGTCCGACTACATGCAGTGGCCGATTTATCTCAATTTTTTTTGAACGAAGAAAGTGTAGTCGGTTGCGTTGCGATTATTCCGCTGATGCAATGATTGTGTCTACTACAGAAACGAGTTCGAGAAGAGATCAGGTGCTGGCCGCGGCAACTGGGGAACTGAAGTAGACCCTGCTCTTATCCAGTAAGTAGTATGGGATGACAAATAAAGATGTATTCAACTGCCTGGTGACGTTACCTTAACAAATCTTTCTGCATGTGCAGTTCATTAAATTTCCTTCTCTGTGCAGGGAAACTGTAGAGCCCGCCAAAGAAGATGACAAGCCAGTTGTGGAAGCAGAGGCAGAGAAGAAGCCTGAAGTGGCTGGTGACGCCACAACTGGAGAAGGCGCCGTTGAACCTGTGAAGGAGGAAGAGGAGGACAACGTGAGTTTTCTTTCAGTTTATCGAGTAAATTTGTAGTTGAAGTGATGTGAAAATGTTAATTGCTCATTGCCTGTATTTTGATGTGGTGCAGGAAATGACCTTGGAGGAGTATGAAAAGGTTTTGGCGGATAAGCGTAAAGCTTTGGAAGAGGCCAAAGCTTCCGAGAGAACGGTCGAAGCAGACAAGGAGTTTGAGAAGATGCAGCTCGTTTCTAGCAAGAAGCTCGAGGAGGACATCTTTATCAAGCTAGTGAGTTGGCTGCTATCTAAATTTACGTAGAGTGAATCTGTATTCTGTCCGAGCGTTGATTTTTCTTCTGTAATTTATGTCCCACTTACGCGTGAGTTGAACATGTAGGGTCAGGAAAAGGAAAAGGTGAAACGGGAAAATGCTGAGAAGGAGGAGAAACTTCGTAAGGTATTATTTTGTGCAGATTTTTCCTCCTTACACGTTGTGTTTCTCTCTGGCATGTGTCAGTTGAATGAAAGTCTTCGCTTGGTTGTCTCAAGAATATCTTCAGTTGTCTTTAATTAGTCTCCATTATCCAGCAGCAAGTGCTAACTTATTATGTTCCATTGCGAATGTGTAGCCTGTGAGCATCAACGAATTTCTAAAGCCTGCTGAAGGCGAGAAGTCCTACTTTCCTTCAAACCGCGGTCGTGGCGGTCGTGGCGGTCGTGGAGACCGTCGTGAGGGTAGCGGACGCGGTGATCGCGAATCTACTCGTGGAAGCTTTGGCGGTGGAAGGTTCGGTGGCAGTCGTGGTCCAGCCGGTGGAAGCGCATCTGCTCCCAAGATTGAAGATCAGTCACAGTTTCCTACTTTAGGGGGCAAGTGAGGGATACACATGCTTGGAGGTAGGGAGAAGTAGCATGGGGTTTATGTGCAGGATCGCCACAGAGGTTTGCCGTAATGACATGCTGCTTAGGTTTGTTTGGGGAGTCTCGTGTCTGTAACAAAATGTAGTTTTGCAGTGTCGGGGAAGCTGCTGTTAGATTCTAATCCTCTGTCTCTTTTTCTTTCACTTCTGCCTATCTTCCAATAGATCTTGGTTTGTAGAGTTCCGATTGTGGCCGTATGCTGTTCCTACATTGCTATTCGTTGATTTCTGGGTTCCAGCCGGTCAAGGATTGGTATGATGTCCCATGGGGGCTTTCATCAGATTTTGGGTACTCACATATCTTGTAGTGAGATTACACAGTTTTAGCGTAGTGAGAGGAACGTCTTTGTCCACGGTGTTCCTGTGCGATTATCTGTCGGAAGTTCCAAATTCTGGTAGTTTAAGGTAGAATATCTTTGAAGAGGCACGAGTTGCCATCAGTTCGTCAGGCAGGTTATGATTACAAGGATGGAGCGAAGTGGTCTTAAGTTTCTCCATAATTTCGACAGTGTGACTACCTTAGTAACCTGGAGGTGGACTACAATATGTGCTCCTTTTACTTGGAATTTACTTCAATGAATTGTAAACGTGTTCAGTTCAATCTGAGGCACCAAATATCGGCAGTCTCCAATTTTCAGAACATGCGTTGAAGTGCTATCTTTTCAATGTTGAAGTAGTCACAACTTACAAATCGAGGTGTTCCCGTGATTTGTAACTAGATGCTTAATTAATTGCTTGTGCTTCTGAGATATCTCAGCAACAAGTTATGCATTGAATCGGACGAATAACTGTTAGGCGCAAGCACCATTTGCGAAAAAGATTACTGTTAACCTCCGGGACAACAAGGAATTAATCTGCGGTTCCAAGTCAGTGACGAACGGATAACAAGTCAACACGCCATCAAAACAAGTGTCGGTGGCAGATACTCTCATCAGTCGTGAAGCGATTCGACTGAGATGATGCCTATCGTATGGTACCCGATCTCACAGAAATGATTGAAATATGTCCCAGTTATGTGTCTGTCGTGAAGATGCAAACTGCAATTAAACACTGAAAATATTCTCGATTCTACCTGAAACTACCAGAATTTGAATGAGCTGAATCAACTTTACTACATTCAAAGGTAGAATGCAATATTTTCGAATGAGCTGAATGACTCAATGCAGTTTCAACCAATGCATTAGGATTGATTGTATTTAACGAATTAGTTGACATCTAAGTGTTAACAAATGTTTTTATTACTTTACCTTTGTATTATATAATCTTCTAAAAATGCTCCTTTGACTACTAAACAAGTAGTTATGTTTCCAACCAAAAAAAAATTGAGGACATAAATAAATTATTGGTTATATGTGGTTTGGACAAGTACAAAGGGTTGGCAACTTGAGTTGTAAATAAGAAGCATGTAAAACGATGGTTTAATTGTTGTTTACAGATGTGAATTTCTAAGTAGTTTAATCAGTCTATCAAAGCTCTTCTAAAAACAGTGGGATCAAATTTGTCAAATAATTATATCAAAACAAAGTCAAGCATCTGTTTATAATTTAAATTGGTATTTAAAAGTCTTGGCTTAGACAAAATATTTTAAAATAAAATAAAATTTTGGCCCTTAAACTAGAACGTAAAACAATTTAATCTGCTTTACTATATGAATTCTTATTATTTGACTAGCTATCAAGCAACGTCAACCATATTCTGAAGTCCTAATTAGACATTTAAAACATCTTATAGTGCATCTTAAATATTTTAAGGTATTTTGTAAATGTCTTAATTAAGGTGCACTATGATAGTTTATTGAAGAAAATATAATTGAGATGCACTATCAGTCTGAATTTACTTTGTATGCTCTTTAATATTTAGTCCAAATATCCATCGAATGAAGAAAACACCACTGATATATTACTGTCATCGTCAGTTTCATTAGTATTAAATCAAATTAAATATTGTAGAAATGAAACTTTTCTAGGTTAAAAGCATAGACACTTCAGCCCCTCCACCTTCAAACCGAGTAAGAATCATCCTCATCTTGTACAAGCTTCCACTAAATTTTGCAATTTTTTTTCATTAAATTCAAGCGCATTGGATGTTCTACCTGCAACGTGGTGAGGGTCATTCTCCGCAAAAAATAAAAAAAAAGTAACCAAACGTATAAATCAATAAATAAATACTCATGTTGTTGTATTCACAATCACCCCCACTAAGGGTTTAATACTTCTGAGTACATGCAAAACTACCAAGCTGTTGTTTTTCATAAAATCTACGCCCTGTGGCCGTCTCAAAATTCTACGAAAAGAGGGATAATCTAGTTTGGGGTGACATGAAATCTACGAACTGCACCGGAGTGGGACTGGAGGAAGAGACGTCGCCATGCGAGCGGGGTCCACGCCCGGCACTCGCAGAGCCACCAGCTTTGAGCTCCACGCCGACGGAGACCAAAATTCTCACCAAATGTCTCTTTTTCGACAGAACCCGGTTGCAAAATCATCGCCAGGGCTGCCTCGCAACCTATCAAATCCATCTCCTGGACTCTCCTTATCCATCCCGGGCTGCCCACTCCCTGCCCGCATGAAAACCTCACTCGGGGTGTTCATCAATCTCACCGCGACATCATAGATAGGGGCGCGATTTTCTGAACTCGCAGTGGCAACAGCAATTCTTGATCACCGCGGTCACTCTCCGCTTTGCGTTTGGGTTGTGCAGTGAAGTGCATTGCTACTTGTAGCTGAGGAGAATGGCAGCTATGACGTGCTCCATGGGGACAGCAGTGGCGCCACGCTCCACGGTGGCTATGGAGACCGCCACATCCAGCTCTGTAAGCCAGCGGGTGAGCTTCGTTGGGCGCAGGTCGGCAGTGGTGGCGTTTGGGATTGGCAATGGAAGTGCCAGAGTGACCATGGCCGCCGCTGGTGCTGCAGCGCCCAAGGGCGGCAAGCAGCAGAAGAAGGAGATTGACGAGACGCTTCTGACTCCGAGGTTTTACACCACCGACTTTGACGAGATGGAGCAGCTGTTCAATGTAGAGATCAATAAGAACTTGAATGAGGCTGAATTCGAGTCTTTATTGGCTGAGTTCAAGGCTGACTATAACCAAACTCATTTCGTTAGGAACCCTGAGTTCAAGGTCGCCGCGGATAAGATACAGGGACCATTGAGGCAGATTTTTGTGGAGTTTTTGGAGCGGTCTTGTACTGCAGAATTCTCCGGGTTTTTGTTGTACAAGGAATTGGGAAGGAGGCTGAAGGTCAGTGCGCTTACATCTGCCCTGTGGTTTGATTATCTGAGTCCGTTCATGTTTTTAGTTCATAGTGTCCCCCGGTACATTAACATGCCATCGCTCTATTCGTGGTTTCGGAGAAGTCTTTTGCATTGCCTTCGAGCAAAGCAAAAGCACAAACCTTTTCTCGTGACTCTTCTGCGATTTTTTACTGCGTCAAATTTTGACCATGTCGGAGAATGATTGTCAGTAGCTCTAAGTTTCAATGTATGATTCATTTCCGAACACTACACGCAGTCCAAAAGCATAGCATATTCTTTACAGAGAGATCTCATGATCGAACGGCGTTTCAGAAATGTTGCCACTCCAATTGTTGCAAACAGCTTTTGATCTTTCTTCTCTCCGATATGATTGTAATGTTGAAATTGCTTCCTTCCATGAATGTGAACAGAAGACAAACCCTGTGGTGGCTGAGATTTTCACCCTTATGTCAAGGGATGAAGCCAGACATGCTGGCTTCTTGAACAAGGGACTGTCAGACTTCAACTTGGCCCTGGATCTCGGATTCTTGACCAAGTCAAGGAAATACACTTTCTTCAAGCCTCAGTTCATCTTCTACGCTACCTATTTATCTGAGAAGATTGGCTACTGGAGGTACATTACCATTTTCAGGCATTTGAAACAAAACCCCGATTACCAGTGCTATCCTATCTTCAAGTACTTCGAGAACTGGTGCCAAGACGAGAACCGTCACGGTGATTTCTTCTCGGCTCTCATGAAGGCACAGCCTCAGTTCCTAAACGACTGGAAGGCCAAACTTTGGGCTCGTTTCTTCTGCCTTTCTGTAAGTTTCACCTCCATTTCTTGCCTGAGTGATTCCTGTATGTTGTAGATAGTAACTATCTGACGATCTTAGGTCTGGGTTTTATCTGTATGGCACTTAAACCTGCACAGTTAGTGTCTTCGCAACCATGACCACATTGGAGTGCCAAACCTAACATTAGTGGAGGAATTTTTTTGAGTGTAGAGGACTTCTTGCCTGAATAGCTGGAATCTACTTTTTGTGCAGGTGTATGTGACAATGTACCTGAATGATGTTCAAAGAACCTCATTCTATGAGGGGATTGGCCTGAACACCCGCGACTTCGATATGCATGTCATTGTTGAGGTCAGATATTCTCTCGTTACTAATTCTGTTCTTGCAGCGCTAATATTTTTTGTTCACAGCATCCTTCCATCTCCTATTTAAAATTTTTCATTTGATCTGGCCATATTCATTGTTACTAGAAGTGCTTCTTTGCAGTAGTTTTTTTTCCAATTTGGCTGAGTAAGTCATTTGGTCTTCACTTATTGCTCCAAAATATGAATTAGAATCAAAGGTGAATTCACATACCAAACCATAGGTCAGATTTATGTTTGTAAGTCATTTTCTTGTTGGACCTATTTTTGGAGCCACCTTTATTTTGATATATCTATATATATATATATATATATATATATATATATAAGTTATTCTTTTAAAATACAAACTTCACAAAAAGAATAAAATTTTGTCATAACATATATATATATATATATATATATATATATATAAATGTTTTATATTTATGTAATATTTGGTACATGTATCTGTAGTTTAAATATAATAAAAGAGAATTAGAATTTAAATTATATTTAACATAAAAAATATGGTTTTAAATTGAGGTATTACTATTTCTATCATATGTGCTTCAATAATAGATGTTGATAACAAAGCAAAAATAAATTATATCCTACATGAGATGTTCTATATGTTAATAAGAAATTTAAATTTGTAAAAGTTTCAATAGGACTAGCATACTTTCTTATTAATTTTTTGAATGTATATATATATATACATATATATATATATACATATATATATATATATATATTCAAAATTCTTTAAATTTTTAAATAAATTCTTTAGATTTATTGTTAAATCACATCAATATATGTGTATATATATATATATATATATATATATATTATTATTTTTTAGAAATAAAAAATATATTTAATCCATTATTTTTTTTTTTAGTAAGATACTTTGCTTATGTATATATATATATATATATAGATATATATATATATATATGTGTGTATATATTTCTTTTTATTCTCTGATTCTATATATTTATATTTTTCCATTAGAGCTTGCTAATGGTTTTAATTTAGTGATGTAAAGATGATGTATGTGTTTTTATAGCATATTACTTTATTTAGAATCAGATTTGGTAAATATCTATACTTTTAATAGAAATAATAGAAGAATAAAAGTAAATAAAAAAGTAATTTGAAGAAGTATAATAAAATTTAATTCTATATATATATATATATATATGCATTAATGACTTAATAGAATATATGTATATATATATATATATATATATATACATATATATACGCATTAACGACTTAATAGAATATACGTATATATATATATATATATATATATTTGCATTAACGACTTAATAGAATATATGTATATATATATATTTTCAAAATTTATGCATATTTTTATGGATAAATATATATATATATATATATATATATATGTATATATATATATATATTTATATAAATAGAATTATTATAGAATTTAGAATGTAATTTTTTTCCTCCATATAATCATAATACTTCCTATAAAAAAATTATACTACAATAAAAAATTAAATTAAACCAATTCTTATATAGTATACTTGTAAGGAGATTTTTTTATTTTATTTTATATCCAATTTTTTCTGTTGTTATGTTTAAATTTTTATAAATTTTTGTGTACTGGTAATTGCAAATATGTTATGCACACATCAAATGAATGTCTTTGTATATATTTAATCCTATTGGTTTTTTCTTGCTATGTTGTAAATATTTATTTAAAAAATATTTAAGACTACCTTCTTTATAACTTAGTGCACTTATTTTTAAGGTTTATAAATTTTTTTTTGTATTGCCTAAACTAATCACATATTTTGTGCTATTTCCACTTATAATATTTATTGCTCATGACAACACCTTAACTTTATACAATGATTTCAAGATATTTAGGATTTGTATATAGTATGAGATGTAGTATAATTAAGATTGGACTTTGCATGTTAGACTTATAGTAAAAAAGTAATAATGATTTGATCTATTCGATTTCTTATTAAAAGAAATTCCTTTGCTAAGCCATTGAAAAATGTGAGAGTCAAAAGTCTTGATCATTCACTTTGCCTCACCATGAGCAAATGCATCACTTCACTACAAGTCCCTCACACCCATTTCCAAATATGATTAAACTTTTCTCCACATGGTTTGTTTGACTGTTCTTTTTTAAAATTTTTCACCTAAATAAATAAGTAGACCTGCGTGAGGTTTACTCCCCAGGGTTTCTCTCACTGCTTTTTCATTTCCTTTCTACATGAATTAAGAAAAAAGATAAACCAAGGGATGATAAAATACACATGTAAGAAGAAAAATAGTGCTCCATGTTGCAAGAAGCATGAGTCAGGCTGGGGTGTATCCTGGATTCCCCATGGTCAAGTAGAAGCATTAATAATATCAAAAAATATTGAATTAATTGAAAGAAGAAAAACAATTTGAATGGGTTCTTCACAGTGATGACGCAACTTTCAATGGCTCCTCACCAATCAACCACATCAAAGTAGAATAAAAAACTGAAGCCAGGCGATGAAAAAGTAAAAAGTAAAAGTAAATGGAAAGAGCAACGAACGAGGCGATGAAGTGCATTTTTTGGAATGAGTTACGCAGACATGACTCGACGGGTTCTCCGAGGGGCAGAGGGAGAAGGGAGGATCGGGCTGCCCGAGACGATATTTTGGGCGATGGCCACGCTGGACAAGGCAGAACGAAGGCGAGGCGAAGCTTCGAGAGGCCCACAGATCCTTCAACAGAAGCTTGCCTCGAGAGCTCCTGGCTTTGGCCGTCACCGTGCGGCGCCCACAGCGGTTAATACGGATGGGATGGATCGGGCCACCACAGCCGCATTGAATCCCACTGGGATGCATCACTTGTTGGTGTTGAATTTTGTCACGACAAAGCCCACCATTCGATATGGTTCTGTTTTGTGTTTTGTGGTTTTTCTTTTGTCCGTTTTTGTCACATCGCTGGGTCACTATACGGGATGCGAGAAGAGCACAAAATTTCACATATCTTAGCAAGAAACGGAAATTGTATTCCCGTCTAGATATGAGCCCAACCCTGGAATTCTCTATTCCCTTGGCGGATCCGAGAGATATGCGCTAGGATGGGTCCGCAATGGATAACGCGAATGTCTCCCCCGACAACATTCGAGGGGTGGGGAGAGGGGTCGGTTCGAGCTGAACTACGTGGCGGGGAAAGGGTTGGGTCACCATTTCTTCTGCCTCCAGCACAGTAAGCGAATCGGCGAGGCGTGCGACGACCCCCAAAAAATTCTCATAAGATTTGGATTTTCGAAGACGTCGAAGTACGATTGTTGGGCTGGGGCCGGGTGGCAATGAAAATTCGGACCTGAGGAAAGAAGTGGAAGAGGAGGAGGAGTAGAGGTGGGGATTCAGGGCTTGTGCATGCGGGCAGTGTGGGCTTCAGAAACTGATGCTTGAAACGAGGGCGATAGCGGTGGAGCACTGATCTTGTGTGGCGCCTCCTCCAGTCATATGCATGGCATGAGCGAAAGAGCAAACAGCCATGACATTGCATCACCTGTCGCGCGAGCTACCGATAGAGAGATCAAAAGATAAAGAGAGAGAAAGAGATGCCGGCTTGTTCCTCGCCTGCTCTCACATTTGCTGGCAATCTGGTTTTCAGGGAACAAGATTGCATGGAGTCACATCAGATGGGTTCTTCTCCCTGAATTGGGTCCTCCAAGCTCACAGCACCATCGCTGCCCACTCTGCAGAATCTTGTCCACTCCCAAGAGCATGAAAACCACCGCATAGGGCTGCTGTTTTTTTTTTTTTTTTTTTTTTTTTTTTCTTCTTTTCTTTTTCTTGTCTTTAATTTTTTACTTTCCTTTCATAATATTAACAGTTGTGAGAACTGGGCATGGAATTGGAGACCACAAATTTCGCAGATCTCAGGATGTCTATGAACGAAACGGTTAGGTGTGATTTTTGAAGTCTTGATGCGGCTGCTTTGAAGTTTCACCCTCTGAGGGCCCCACTCACGACCCGATGCTTGTTCAGGAATAAACAGGCACTGCTAGAAATTTAAAGCAACGGCAAGTCTAAGGCCCTTGCCTCTGTACATGACAATGGGATGTATACACTTCTTCACCACCACCACGACCACCACAAAATAGAAGTGGAAAAAGAACCACGCAAAGAGAAACCAAACGCAGTATTCTAGAATTTTAAATCTTTGTCTACACACATGTTAGTTAACAGTTATGATAGGTATTTGTTCATTCTCTATTTCAAACTATGAAAATCATATTAAAAAAAAGAAAAAGAAAAAGAAAACATTGAAGGTTCTATTAGAACAAGTTGAATAGATAATTATCATTCTAACAATACTGAAGTTTTGCACGATTGCTGCTTGTCTCCTTTTCGACCACAAAATTACACAATACGTTCATTTTATCACATGAATGTATCGTCTTCAACAACCCGTCAGTGCACGCCTCAACGCTGATTGCTGCGGGTAGTGACCATCCTAAGCAAAATGCGGAATGCAAATGGATTTGGAATCCGGTCAGACATGGATTGCATCGAACCTTGAGTATGAAGATGCTATCCCCTCCACTTAGACTACGAGCTTCTGACGATGAGCAGACTGCAACTGAGTGAAGAGCTGTACTCGGTGCCTCGCTCCCGAGTCATTAAACGTGACGTCGCATGCTTATTTTTTACGTGGTGAAGTAGCTTGCATGGTAAGTGATTCGGGAAACCCGTCCGAGATTATTTTCCCGGTTTCTAGAATGGAAAGTATCTCAAGGAGCCAGGATTTCTCCCAGAGGCATCTTGCTTCACAGGGAATTAAAAAAGATAAAAGAAATTGCGAGTGTTCAGGATGAAACCATGGGCCCTGTATCTGACCGAGACTGCGGGTTTAGAAACTTTGCCCTTCAGGGGTCCAGGATCTCCTCATCGAAACCGCTGCAAGGCTCCAGCTGTGGGCTCACCTCGTATACAAGAATCGATCGCGACGATACGGCTAATCGCGTTCTGCAGTGTCGACCTAGTGATCATTGGCGATGTTGAGAATTCTAAACGGGTTACTGAGGATTCAAGAGACGGTGACCAGAATCGAGGTGCCGCACATCCATGCATGAGCTGGTGCAACCTGGAAGCTGATGATTATTACCAATCTTGTAGAATTTAAGGTTTGTGTGTACGATTTTGAGCCAGCGTAAAATGCAGAAGGATTGATGGAATGGAGAGAATCAAGGCGGGAAAGATAGGAAGGCAAAAACTGCAGGACATGGCGATTTTGAAGTTTCCGTTCGGCACACTTGACGTGCGGGGTCCTCAATTGCTCACCGATCATCAGATTGGAAGCGGCGTGGATATACACGTTCAGGTGCCTGAAATGAAACAAATGGTCCTTTTATCTAAAGCAAGTCCCACGGGCAGGGGAGACTGGAGGACACAACGGAAGTCCAAGTCCATGAATCTGGAAGCAATTCTGCAGTTGCCAACAAAAACTCTGGAAAGAAATCTTCGACGTATAGGCCAGGATCTGAGCAATGCTTTCTCGAACTTGCGGGAGCAGCAATCGAGTCCTTCGCAAGTCTTGAAGCTCACTGTATATCTGTGCATGAAGAAGTACTTCGTCATGCCGAAGTCGGTGGAAGAGAGTGCGCTTATCATAAGAAATTTTCACAAGGATGAATTCCTTCTCAAGGCCGTCTCAGTGGAGCTTCCAGATAAGTCCGCGGTGTATTTCCCGTGCAACTCGTGTGTTTACAACACAAACCATTACGACACCGACCGCGTGTTCTTCAGCACTAAGGTCACACCTCCAGAAAACAATTTATATGAATTTTTTAAAGGTTCCTGTGCATGTTTTCCATGCACAATTCAATCACGGATCCAAAAGAAATTAGGGATATAGGGATCGTTCTCGCTAGCTACTCCCTCAAACGAAACCACGACTAGATAAACGCTGGAAAACAGAAATTCCGAATATTTTTAGTGATGTGTTTCTGTTTTCTAGACGCCAGTTTCTTGCTTATGACAAGGTTGCAGCTATCCATGATAATGGAGGGTTTTGAAATCTGTGCTTCTTAACTGCTTGCGCAGATGCACTTACCACAAGATACCCCCACCGGATTGAAGAAGTTGCGGAACCAAGAGCTGATCAATATGCGAGGCAACGGGTCAGGATTGCGGAAGGAAGCAGACCGCATATACGACTATGCCGTATACAACGACTTGGGAGACAGTGACCAGCACGAGAGCTTGGAGCGTCCTGTTCTCGGCGGAAACGACGAATTTCCGTATCCAAAACGCATTCGCACTGGACGACCTGAGATTGGTACCGTCTTCCACCTAAATCAAGAGCTTGCATACTATTCACCTGTGATCTCAGTGTGTTGTGCTAACACGTCGGGTACCGTTGTAAAAGGTGGGTGCAGGGAAGCACCACGGTTAGTCGCCTTGGTCGTGCTCCCTGGTAGAGATCTTGTTGCATGGGTTATTGGGTTTCCATCACTCCTAATTCGGGGACCATGCTTCTACCGAAAAACCCAGTACCTCGAAGCTCCGCTTCAAGTTTATGACAATGAGAACTTTACACATGCTAATACTCCAATTCTGTACCACAACCACCGTTTCTGTTGTTTATTGTGCAAAACTCGTTGCGGTTGCAGATCCGATGGCGGAGCACCGTGGTGAGATGTATGCGAAGTTTTACATCCCGAGGGATGAGCGGGTAACTTTGGTACACACTCCGGGCTTGGTGCAGAAGGATGCTATTGAAGAGGCCTCGAGGAAAATGATGCCGGCTTTATACGCATTGTACTCCACTCAGGTGGAATTCCAAAGCCTTGACCAAGTATTTGACTTATTCAAGAAGGGTGGATCAATGTCCAGTGCCGATTCCAAATGCGCACCCAAGTGTGCGCCGAGTGAGGCGGAAGCAGTCATCAAATTGCGACCCCCGAAAGTTATTGCAGGTATTATTTCAGAAGTCATGCAACACGATAGATGCTGCTTGTCCAGTAGCATGGTCTCAGTCCCTCATGTTGGACACCGTGTGGATCACATACTTGAACCGCATGAAGCACACCGTAACTAATAGTGATTGATTATCGTTCACAGCTTCTGAGAATGCGTGGATGCTTGATGAGGAATTCGCGCGTCAGGTGCTGGCCGGAGTCAATCCAGTGGCAATTGAGCGCGTAAGGGAATTTCCCATTCGAAGCGCACTTGATACCACATCATATGGAAGTTCCTTGTCAGCGATAACAGCAAGTCACATCGAACCATATCTAGAAGGGCTAGACTTGCAGACGACAATCGCTGAACAGAAGCTCTTCATTCTTGACTACCATGACCTTTATCTACCATTTGTTGACAAAATCAATCAATGCCCGACTTCGAAGGCATACGCCACCCGAACTCTCTTTTACTTGCGAAGGGATGGCACATTGATTCCTATTGCCATTGAGCTAAGCCTCCCACCATGTGAAGGAGAAAACCAGTCTAGCATGAATCGTGTCGTGACTCCACCCCCCTTGAACACGAAGAACTGGACATGGGAACTTGCAAAGACCCATGTGATGTCGAATGACGCTGGCTATCACCAACTAATAAGCCACTGGTAAGTATCAATCCTACACATTCTACCTTATGGAAACATGAATATGTCAGATCCAGCTCCAAGGTAGGGTAAGTCAAATAACAATGAATACAATTTGAAGCATCGCTACTTCACATCAATATGATCCATCTTTCAATGTTCGTTCAATAAAAGTTAGAGGTTCCTGGTTTAAGGTTACGTTCGCACGCCACCATGGAACCTGTGATCATTGCGACACACAGGCAGCTTAGTTCACTTCATCCCGTGCACCAAGCTCTGGTACCACACTTCAAGAACACAATGGACATCAACGCTGCGGCACGAAAAGCGCTCGTTAACGCGGGTGGCATCATCGAGAAGACTTTCACTCCGCATGAAATCTCTATGCAGATGAGTTCCACTTGGTACAAGCATTTCTGGCGCTTTGACGAACAGGCACTGCCTGCGGATTTACTCAAGAGGTAATACCCCTTCTTCAATCATTCCTGTTCAAAGTCCGAGTATCCACAACTTGTGCTAGACCACATTAGACATCTGCAAAGGAACTGGTGAACTCGTCAATAACTGATAAAAATTGTTGGAATGACAGAGGGATGGCTATTCCAGATGACAGCAAAGAGCAAGGAATAAGGCTGACAATTGAAGACTACCCGTTCGCTGCGGACGGGCTAGAGCTCTGGGGTGCAATCCAGACATGGCTCTCGGACTACGTAGAAGTGTTCTACAAGGACAACACAAGTGTTCGCAACGACGAGGAGCTTCGAAAGTGGTGGACTGAAATTCGAACCGTGGGTCATGGCGACAAAAAGGACGCCGACGGGTGGCCATTGTTGGATTCAAAGAGATCCTTGGTCCACATTTTGAACATCATAATGTGGATTGCTTCTTGCTATCACGCAGCGGTGAATTTTGGCCAATACGAATATGCCGGTTTCATGCCCAACCATCCAACGATGACCCGGAAGCTGATTCCAGACGAAGGGACAGCTGAATTCGAAGAGTTCCGAAACGATCCCGAATCATTCTATATGTCAATGATCTCTAATGAGACCCAAGCAGCCGTGATCGCTATCACAACAGAGGCACTTTCTACTCATGCAATCCACGAGGAGTATCTTGGCCAAGGGCCCTCTCCAAATTGGACCAGTGAAGACAGGGTAAGCTCATCTCTAATTCGCCAAAACTGGCTAGTTTCTAAATCCATTTTAAAGCAAGGACAATGGGAAATGACGTTTTTGGACCTCACCGGAAAGAGCCCGAGCTTGTGCAGGTGCTCGCAGCTTTCAGCAGATTTCAAAAGAGGGTCAGGAAGATCGAAAAGATGATTGCAAAGAGGAATCAAGAGAAGAGATTGAAGCACCGTCACGGTCCTGCTCAAGTTCCTTACGAGCTCCTGCACCCCTCCTCTGAACCAGGTTTAACAGGAAAGGGTGTACCCAACAGCACTTCTATCTAACGAAAACGCTCCTCATGAAATCCTAGTCCATTTTTGTACAGAATAAAATTAGTAGCAGCTTTGGTTACAAGTATCACATGATGATGAGACCATGGTTTTGGAGTTTGCCAGATTTGCCTGTACGTGATCACCACACAGCACTCGTATGGTTGGCCTAATTAGCCTAAGTTGACAGCACCCAAATTTCTAGGAGGCGGTCCCTGTCTTTCCCACATCGTAGTAGCTAGCAAGTCTTCCCTTTAAACTGAGTAGACCATGTTCCAATTCTTCCCTGAATTTATCCAAGCTTTGAAATGCAAATGTTTCGACCCTAAGAAAAGTCAGACTCGTGTGTTCAACTTACTCCATCCTCACACCCACATGGAACGTTGGAGACAGAAGTCATTTTCATGACACCGTCTTCATGGCTCGAAGTTCGATCGAGGAGCTCAATCAGGAGGCAATCCAACAATCGGCTTTACAAGTTCGTTATCGTTTAATCAGTTTTCGCAACCACCAGTAATTGCACCAGATCTCAAGTCGACGTTTTGATAGAATGTTCGCTTGGAAGCGCCGAACAAATATCGAACTCTGATTCCCTACCATGCCACAATAGCACCAAAATTCATATGTTGCCTCTGTAACAAGTATAATTATAACAATTTGAGTGGTTGCTCTAATTGATAAGTCTACCAAATGAAATAGCAAATCTTTCTTTTTTTAAAACACTTGATTTGAATGATTGCTCAATTTTGATAAGCTTGCCAAATGAGTTGGAAAATCTTTTTCCTTTAGAAAGACTTAATTTGGGGAATTGCTCAAGCTTGACAATCTTGCCAACTAAATTGGTAAATCTTTTTTTAATGGCAAAACTTGATTTGAGTGATTGCTCAAATTGATGAGCTTGCCAAATGTATTAGCAATTTTTTTCTTTTAATAGACTTAATTTGAGTGATTGTTCAAGCTTAATAAGCTTGCAAGATGAATTAACAAATCTTTCTTCTTTAACAACACTTTATTTTAGTCGTTACTAAAGCTTGTTAAGCTTGCCAAGTGAATTGGAAAATCTTTCCTCTTTGACAATGCTTGAATTAAGTGTCTTATTTAGAATGATAAGGCGATTAAAAATCCATACAAGGTTTCAAAATTGGTATATTTACAATACTTGAATAAAAAGATTGCTTAAGCTTGATAAGCTTAGCAACTTCTTTTTTTTGACAAAACTTACTTTGAGAATCTTTTCTAACTTCATGGGTTTGTTAAATAACTTAACAAATCTTTCTTGCTTAATAACACTTGATTTGAGGGATTGATCAAGGTTGACAAGCTTATCAAATGAATTGGAAATATATCTTTTTAGAGATTATTTAATTAATGATATTACTTAAGCTTTACAAGATTGAATAATGAGTTATTTTTTTTTTATTATTTTACTTTTAAGACTTAAAGTCATTTTATATTTCTAAGTTGACAAGTTTATAAATTAGAGTTAGTATATATGTTTTAGTAGAAATTTGTTTTGATTTCATGTTGAGTTTTAACATAATAGCTTTATTAATTGGAAAGTTGTTTTTAAAAGATGTTATTAGTACTTCATACCCTAACTTGATAATTTTATTGATTGAATTTAAAATTTTTTAGTTTTTTTAAAAAATTTCCATATGACTATATTTATGTTAATTTTTTTATAAATTGGTGTAAAAATAAATCGTTGATTTTATTTTCTTTTTAAGATTACTTAATTTAGATATTATTTATAATAATTTTATTTAAAATAATTTTTTCTAAAAATTTATGGTTTTTTAAGTACTTTTTTATAATTTTATTAAATATATTTATCTTTAAAGGAAATTTTAAAATAGTATTATAATGTGATTTAATTATATTAAAAAATATATTTAATTTGACAAAATATTGTGAAATTGTTCATTGAATTGAGATATATACTAATTTTTTATTTTAATTATATATACTAAAAAATTAGGAATATTAATAAAAATAGATATTATTTTTAGATATATATAATATATGATATTATTAACTTTAATAATTTTATGAATTTTTTCTAAAACACTTATCTTATAACTATTTTTAGACTTGATATTTGTGTTATATAAATCAGACGTAATCTATTTTATATCATAAAAGATTACTATAATTTTTATTCTTCACATTGTTTCTAAATAATTAAAAATATTCATTTAATTCTTAAAACCATAATATTAATAATTATAATTTTTTTTACTTTAGTATAATATTTTCAGTAAGAAATTGTTGAAGATTCTAGAGAGTAGGCCTTGAGAGTGTCCACATAGTAAATGGGAGGTGTTAGTTTAGTGTTTCTCTTCAAATAACTTAAAATATTATATTTTTCATACATAAAATCATTGCAAATATTTTGTAGATTATTTGTTGATTTATTGATTTAATTATTTTAATGCCATAGCATAGTAATTTTATCAATAAATTTTAAATATCTTAATTTTTTTAGAATTATTTAGTTATTTTACGGCTTAATTGATAATATGCTTCTAAATTAATTTTAAATTTATTCTTATTTTAAGTAAATAATAAATATTTTATATAAAATACTAAATATTCTATAAAAGATATTTATTTTTTAAATTAATTTAATCTTCTAGATTAATTGAATATTATAATAATGCCAAAAAATTCATAGTTTTATTTCTTAAATATAATTTAGACTTTCAAATAATTTAAATTTAGTATTATTATTAAATAATTATTTGAGTGGTACATAATGCTTTTAAGATTGATAGTATTTTCCAATAAAAATATAAAAATATTAAATTTTATATTTTTAGAATATTTATATAATTTTATTCTTTGAAAAACCTCACTTAATAAAATTTGTATTACATAAACTTTTAAACTTGCAATTATTATATATTAAACTTGCAATTATTATATATTATATATTAAACTTGCATCCATATATCTACATATATCCATAGCTATTATTGCAAAAAAAAAAAAAAAAAATTACTAAGTTTTTATTTCTTTATTTGCTTCATTGTTTGAGTTTTCTTTTTGCATACTAATAGTCCTAAAATGTCTTTAACGACTCTAATCAACATTATTAAATTAGAGATTGTTGTTTTTCATGACTCTAATCAACAACATAGGATTTTATTTGATTTAGAAAAAAAAATCAAGTAGCTATGAGTATACTTAATTTGATATAAATATAATGATAGAAGACCTTAATAGTATGGATATATGTAGATATATGGATGTGTATCGATGCTTTGAATAAACAAATATAATTCATCTTTTTTATTTTATTCAATAAAATCAAATTATTTTTTTAGACTTGATGAAATCTTAAAGTAACATATATATTTTGACTTTGGACATGACATATGTTTCTTTTGGAAAATAATTTAATCCACATTTTATTAATATAAACATTATAAAACATATTAATTTAAAAAATGAAAATATAAAAATTAAAAATATATTATTATACTTAAAATTATTGATGAATTTATTGATTTTTTTAATATTCAATGTATATTTCTTTACTAAGGGAAAAAACATACTTTTCAGAATTTACTAAAAACTAATATATTATACAAAGTCTTCTACTAATTTGTAGAGGTGTAATGCAACCAATTACAAGAAAAATTGATAATCATGTAATATCTCATGCTTCTCCATTGGAGCAAGTGTAGCTGTTACTTTAGTTGCAAGGCTTCTCCATATTGGTTCTTTTATTGTAACTATCTCATATTTATTGCACCTCTTAATTTAATTTGTTAAAAAAATAAATAAAAGTAATAATAGAATAAGTTACCTTGAAGATGATATTACCATAAGTTTGTTGTTAATGGTGAAAGGATTTACTTTTGGTATATGTAAAGCACATTCTATAGATTTAGGATGAGGTCAAGGACCAATAATCAAAGTTAAGATAATAAAGTATCAACTAGGAAATATTTGAAGAGTAGGTAAGAGTAATTAGTGTTTGACATAGAATACCCTCTTTGTTTGTGAAATACCAAAAGATCTAAGGACCATAGGATATCTTCTTTGTTAATGAAATGCTAAAAGATCCAAGGCCCATAGGATATCTTTTTTATTAATTAAATGCCAAAAGATCCTAAGACTATGTGTACAAAAGTCAAAGAGTGGACAACAACTACTACCTATAAGTAATAGATGTTGGAATTAAGAGTTATCTTACTCCATACCTTTTTAGTGTGCAACCTTCCTAATTCTACATGTTGTTACTTCAAAATTTATTTTCTTTAATACAATTTGTATCAAGCAATAGCTCCTTCTCCTCTCTCTTAGTAAATCTTTATCTATGTTTCTTCAATTTTTTTAATCTCCTCAATTAAAAATATAGTTGTGCTTTGAGATTATTTAAGGTAGCATTATCGATGGATTTCAAAAGGAGTAACTTTTGGTTAGCTTGATCTACTACCTTCAATATCTACACCTCCACTATTGTATTTGTAGCCTATTCTTGTCTATAATTTTTTTTTTTTTTTTTTTGCTTTGATTGCATATGGTGGTCTTTGGCTACCTTTGTATTCCATGATTGATCCTTGAATATCCTCCCTATATTTGTAATTCTTCCATGCATTTGCTTTGATACCATCCTACGTGCTAAGCTTCTATTTTTTTCCATCCTTTCAATATAGTTACTTTTTGAGGCAGATTCTATAGAGGTTTTCTTCTTTAAAGTTAAAGGTTTCATTAATAACCACTGATCAATCTATTTTTCATGCCCTTTCGTCAAAATCCAACAATACTTGTATCTAAAATTTGTTTCTTTTTCATTCTTTTGCTTATAGAACTTGTGCACAAGCCTCCAAGAATTGGCCGTACTTGTGTTACTCTTGCAAATCTTTTGCACTTATGAGTAGACACCAATCTACTTACTTACATTGCATTTTATGTTACTCCATTTTATTTCTAATATTGCAACTATTTACATACCTATATTCATTGTAGTGATTTAAAATATATTTTTAAAATACTCTAACTCTCTAGTAGTTGCCAACAATCCTAACTTACAACATATAAAATACAATTGCTCTCTCTTCTTATATATCTTATCTTTTACTCTAGAGTATATTAGACCTCCTTCCTTTGCAATTTTTGAAGTTGATTTTTTTCCTATCATGATTAAGTCTACACAAAAAAAATAAAAATAAAATAAAAAATGATTAAAATCTTGATGCTTTGACATCCAATATAGAAGGAGTCTCTATAGAAGGCTATTGGAAATATCCTTCTTTTTGCCATGGCTATCCTTGTCATGACCATTGATGCCAACAATGGCCAAACTCTCATATATATAGGATGTGCATGACTTGATGGACTATCCCTTTTCATATGCAAGGGTAGATATGTGTACGTAGATTACAAGTAAAAGCCTTCACATATGACTTCTTCAAGCTTTTGTTCTAACTAATTTTTTATAGAGATAATTTTTATTCTTTTTCTTGGGCTTATATCATAAAAAGATACATAATGGCTTTGTAGAGTATTCACTAGATTTTGCAATGTATTGTCAAAAATTATGCAGTGTAATTGGCTACAATTTAAAGCTCTTTGAAATGTGCTTTATGACTTTTGTCAATTATAATGGTGAGTGGATCAATCTTTGATACAATAATCTTAAGAGAAGATATTT